GTGGCGTTTCAGCACCTCGGAAAGTACGTCGTACGATTTCGATACCGGTGAGTCTGGGACGAGCAAGGTTTTCAGAACCTGGTACGACGCTTTCCCGATGTAGTTCAGCAGCGTCACGGCCTTGTCTTCCGTCTTGACAGCGTTCACTCGAAGGAAAATCTCGAACCGTTCGAGATATTCGTCGACGTCGTCCTCCTCCGGCTTCAACTCCGTAAACTTCGGCATTGTGCTATTTGCCACGTTGTTACTAGGTTCGTTCGATCTTTCCACCCATCCTCGTCGTCATTGTTGTGTCGCGCCGAAACGCCAAGAAACAGAAGCGCCAACGCAGAGGAACAGCACACAAAGAACAAATGTAATATGGCGAAGACACATTTTACAGGGCAAAGACCAGCGCACCCTGGTGGTGAGAATAGGAACCACTTACATTGCTTTATAGATACACAACACTTGTAAAATTATAAACCTCTTAGGTAATCCCCGAGGAAGGGCATGCCTAAACAACGGCGGAAGAGGCGCTCATTCTGTCAGTAATGGGTGGGAGGCGTGCATGTGTTCTCTCTATGAAATACTTCGAGAAAATAAAGGACGCGCACAATATACCTGCAATATGAAGTAAAGGATATGCATTTCCTAAAACCCTGCTCCCGCGCCAGAAAAAAAAAATATATATATATTGCAGTGTTTAATTTTTGCAAAAAGCGAATTTTTGTGTGTGTCTATTCAGCCGGAAGTTAGTCTGCCTCAGAGGGCGTCTGGTGTCTCAGCTGTAGATTTGTAATTTAGACAGTGCGGTACAGCCGCAATAGTTATATTTTACGGACGCATATCTACGGCCACTACTCAAGCTCGGTCGCGCTAGCTTGAGAAGAGAAAAAAAAAAGCGGTTACTAAGTTCCTTGGTTTGTAACTGTTACCAACACCCCCTTCATTGGCTTATGTTATTAAAATGTTAGTAAGATGCGTTATAACCAGTTACTAACTTATGTTTACTAAGTACTACGAGCTTTTGTTTAAAGTTTGGTTCATATGCTTGCTTGCGTTATTCTCACCGAGTGCGACTGCAACGGCTTGCGACGTACCGGTTGTCGCGACAACAGATGCGTCCGCTCCAACAAAACGGGGTAAAAACAAACTGTTTTTACTCTAGTAGACCGGATAGCGGATCGAGGCATCTCTTGGGCTCGAGTGGCACTACCGGCAGCCATTACTTGACGCCAGCTAATGGTTTGGACTCCATGGGAAAAACAAGAAAAAGTGTCATTTCCCCATTTCTAAGTTGTTGTCGACACTACACCTTTTTGCTGCTTTCAGGATGGCAGTCCGCACAGTGGCAGTCCGCACATTTCTTCCAAATAAATGTGTTATTTTTTTATTTGGCGTGACTGCAGTGACGCTGCCAAGCACGCTCACTCCACGAGTGAGCGTGCTTGGCAGGGACGCTGTAAGCCTAGAGCTCGCGCTTGTAGCGTCGGCTGCGTCTGGACATAAGCCTAAACGATGTATGGGCGCGAAGCAATGTGAATTTTTTAGTTTTTCTTTGCGTTTTTTGCGTTTTTCCTTGTGACTATTTGGTTAAAATCATGAAAAAAGAATAAAGTAATTATGTTGTTTCAGCATGGACATAATGTCTCTTGAAATATGGCGCTTATGCATACCTGTAACGTCAAAACAGTGAAACGTGTTAATTCAGACTTAAAAAAAAAAAAAAGAAAAAAAGTGAAACACGTTTACATACCTCTGTATCACAAACTCACTGCGCAGCTCTTGAGGAGGATAAGAGGAGGGCGCAGACTGGAGGGTATCCCCCTCCTCTTCCGTACAATTCAGATTGGTGTTTAGGTCACGCGACATCAGTTTTCCCGCTAAATCTAGCGAAGAAACTGATTTTGTTTTTGGGTGACGTGACACAGTCATGTGACGTCTTTTTCCCGGCTAAATTTAGAGGGAAAATTGACGTCACGTCACCTTAACACCAACTCAGTTTCCCCGCTAGATTTAGGCGAGAAACTGAATTCGTGTTGAATTCACGTGACGTAAATCAAAAGTCATATTGGACGTTTTAGTGATTTATGCAGCGTAAGGTCGGTCTGCCAGTAAGGGCGACACTGGTTTACACTCTACATGAGCAATTTCGCCAGTGCAGTACGACTGCTAACCTGGGGTCTTTAACGTGCTCACGCAGTAGCGATACACGACCGCACGCCGCTACGATGCTCATCCAGATCGAAACGGGCAGGAGTGGGGCTCGAGCCCAGGATCCCTGGGTTCTGCAGCGCGAGCTTTCGCTCCACGCGCGTCGAGCTGGGTGTGCCCTTTAGCCCACTCGGCCACCGATCCCCCTCACGTAACGTAGTGGTCCCGCTTAATCTAGCAAAGGAAGTAAATTCCTTCAGGGGTGGCGTCACATGAAGTCATATGTCGTATTTTTCTCCTTTGAATTTAGTGGAAAATTGGCGTCACTTGACCCTCAACACCAACTTAATTCCCTATAAATTTAGCGGGGAGGTTACTCCGACGCCGCGACACCCGGAACAGGGGACCTAAGAGCTGCGCTCTAAAAAGGAATGCAAAAATTACGTGCGTTATTTTTCATTAGTAATGTGTTCCTTTTATATTCTAGTAAATTAAGATGATAACGCGTTACTTTTATTTGCAAGTAACGGATTGAAACTTGAGAAATGTACCACATGACGAAACTCGAGAAATGTACCACATGACGAAACTCGAGAAATGTATCATATGTCATATCAACGAGAAAACGAAAATCTATTTTAGTGGCAATAAGGGCTGAGGTGATCACTGGCACCATGATTGCGATAGACCTCATTCATTATTAGCGCGATCTCTCGGCGGCAGCGCGCACTATCAGAGGCACAGAGTCATTTTTGACACTTCACAGTCCCGACCACCTGCCTCAGAACGAAGCGTTCGTCGCGTGTTCTTGTTTTTTTTTTTTTTTTTTTTTTTTTTTTTTGTGTATATTACCGGTGTCAGCCGGTCAAGAATAAATCCCTTATATTATCAAGCTCAACCTTCTTGCTGGTGATTTCACAAAGAATTCGTTTTAAAGAAAGAAATTCGTAGTAACGGAACCCTTGAATGAGAACATTTTGTTTGTCCGTCCGAGAATATTGACTTCACGTAACCAACATTACGTGACCTAAACACAGTAGGAAAATTGACTTCACGTGACATATACGCCGATATAATTCCGCTCCTAAATTTAGCAGGAAATTTTACGTCTTGTAACTTAAATGCAAATTGCGTTTCCCCGCTATATTTTCCTTCGAAATCGACGTCGCATGACCTCAGAACCAATTCGAATTCCCCGTTAAATCTAGTGGGGAAATATACCTCACGTGACACAAAATTTCCTCTCCCCATTCTTTTTTTTTACTTGACCCTCCCTTCCTCTCCAATTACCTCCCTATCTATAGTGTCCTTAACATCTGCCTCCTTTCCCCTCGCTCCCCATATGCCTCCAATTAAATACCTTTCTCCTCCAACTCCCTTTATTTCCCCATCCCTGTCCTATTCTCCTAGAGAAGAATCTGGAGTTGGGCAAGTTGGTACATCTTAGATTCGAAAAGCCCCAGAAAACAAGGACAACCGAAGAAATAGACGAAACGATGCGCTGCGCATCGTTTCGTCTTTTCCTTCTGTTGTCCTTGTTTTCTGGCGCTTTTCGAATCTATTCTCCTGCGATACCTTACTCCCTTCCCTCCCCTCCCTCTTTCCCTCTCCCTCTCATTGGTCGTGTGACCCACCTAATCAGTTTCCCCTCTAAATATAGCGGGGAAATATGCGTCATGCTACAAACCGATTTCTTCTTCTAATTTCTCTCTCCTTATCCCTCCCTCCCTCGCACTTCCTCTTTTCAACCTCCCACAATGCCTTTTCACCATTTCAACCTGCGTCACTTCCCTTCCCTTCCTTTCCAATCCCCCTTCTACGATGCACTTCTTCCCTTTCCTCTTCCCCTTCCTGCTCATCTGACACACAAATTCAATTTCCCTAGATGTATTTTTAAAAGAACTTGAAGAACGCTTAAAGGGGTCATGAAACGATTTTCCTACTCCTTCCTCCTTAGCTTTAATCCTCAACTCAAATGCGAATTGTGAAATCACGTGGTCGTGACATTTCTGCGGCACCATTGCGATGACTCCTAGCTTCCACCGTGCTTTTTATGCACACCATAGAACTTGTCATTCCCCAGTGACAATAAGTTCCGTTAGGGCACTCATTGGCCACGAACGCGAATCCAAATATTCGTCGACGGATTGATTGTTGACGAGCGCATACGTCCGACTCCGAGTGACGCAGTTCTCGTGTCCATGCGTGAGCTGGGCTCTGTTGACGTCAGTTTGGCGCCGGTGACGCGCTTTCGGAACCGCAGATGTATCAGTGAAAAGGCGGAGAGCTTTCGAAGGCAAGAAGGTACAAAATAGTCCGCAATATTTTCAAATGTTCGTACCGAAAACCTGGCTTTTGACTTTCTAGCCTTTTTCTTTTGGCCAAGTAAACGATATGCGATTAGTAAAGTAAGAATTTAAAAATCATTCATCCCAACCTGAAATTTGTTTCATGGCCCCTTTACGTTTCGTCTTTAAGGGCGGAACGCGATAGCGTTATGGGGCCCCGTTCGCAAAGCGTGTAAGTTTGCCAATGTGGTCTAGTCGGTAGCGGCTTGTGACACGTGACGTCACGGGACACGCGACACGCTTGGCTAGCGCAACGTGTTTTGCTCTTTGCCGGTTCATTTTATAAGCATGAAAATTAGGTGTCTCTTTTACGCGAAAGTATTCACCCTGATCCCTGCAATAATGCATCCGGTGCTGCGGGGCAATCTGGAATAAATAAATACTACGGAGGACTTTAATGAGCGTTTTTGTTTCGTCGTTAGCAATTTCAATTTCAACAACGTTTATTTAGACACATACAAAATCAACTCGTCCTTTTTCTAATTGCAGCCACATTATTGTATTTCCTGATTCATCATGGGGGCATCTGTACTCTCCATGTTGCTTCTACTGAGTGGTACGTTACACATAAGCTTTGCTACCATCTTGAGAAAGACAGCCTCCAGAAGAGGATATAAAAGTGCACTACTTCGTATTTTGCAGGATCTGTAACAGACAGGTCCAATAAGAAAATTGAGGACACACCTTCTGGCAAAAAAGCTCGTGAGTGTTAAAACTCATAAAGTTATTAACTATAATTTGCTGATTTGTTGCTGTGATCTCGTTTTTACAATTTAGGAATCTATAAGTCAAATCTCAAAAGTTTCAAAAGGGTGTACACCCAGAAAACGATCATTTAAAAGAACATTACTGTACAGGCAATTAAACAAAACTCGGCGAACTTCACTCTTCCACGACCTGTTGGGGACCGGAGTTTTTGTGTCCAGTTCTAAAATCATTTTACCAAGAGGCGAAAACTGATTCATGAATATGTCAAACACCGCTGCCATTCAAAAAGCGAATAAATTGGTTTAGCCTTTAATTGTAACCGTCATCAATACTTTAATCGCAGCATTATATTAGAACTAAGGTTTACCCCCTTCCTGCTGAAAAAAAATCTATTAAATGGAACTTACAAACACGTGCAAAGCGAAATGGGGCTCTGCTTGCCCATATTATTCTGTTATCCGAAAGCATATCATACACCCGCAAACGGTGTTGTGTGCCAGATTGTCGAACAGCGATTTTTTTCAGTTCGGTTCAATTTTGGATTCACGGTCCTTGGTACAATTCCGCTTCAGCTCTGGAAGTCAATGTAACGGGGTTTGAACCGCTAAATGGAGAATGTATTTTCCGCGTTGTTTCGGCAATAGGCGCCGTGTAACAAGTAACTATGTAAAGTTTTTTTAAGCTTTAAGCACCGTTCACACTCTTGGGACCGAGTAAGACCGAGAGAGACCAGACCGGTTTTTAAGCGTTTTGCGACTTCTTAGGACCGGATGCGATGCAGCGGAGCTGATCCTAAGAGATCCCAAAAGGCTTAAACACCGGTATGGTATCTCTCGGTCTTACTCGGTCGCAAGAGTGTGAACGGGCCTTTACAGGTTCGTTTTTAAAAATTCCTTAAAGCTACACTCATGCGGTTTGCGCAGGTGAGCTGTGCGGCCAGGGTACATAGTATAGAGGGCATATTGTAACGATCAGTTGGCTAATTAGATGAAATTTATCAATTATATTTTTAATAAGTAAAAACAAACAAATGGTTCCAATTAGAAACATGCTAAGCATCATGGAAAACCCACGAAATTAGTAGCTTTCAGAAAAAAGTTGAGCGCGTGACAAGCCCAGTAGTGCGCACGAACAAGAGGCTGCCGGTGCGATAAAGCGCCTGCGCGTTTCTTTCGCCTCTTATCGGAGCCCCAGCCTTCTACCTGCTCCACGAGTTGTACCTTTAACCCACTACTGCGCTTCCCACGCCCTTAGAATATTTATAAAAGCTCGCGGGGTTGTTTAGTGGTTTGCTATGAAGCTCAACAAGTTGCTTATTGGAAACATGTCTATTTTCAATATATAAAACGTCATTGAAAACATTATATTAATTAGTCGACTCATTCTAACGATTAGCCCCACACTATGTACCCTGTCCGTTTCCCCTTTGGAGGTACCACTTAGGAACACAAAGAAGGTTCCTTTGGTTCGTATAAAAACTTGTTTATTGACTCAAATGCGAACACGCTTCGCTCTTAGACATGAAAAGTCTGGGCGCTGGCTCAATTGCCAGTATCACCCGGTCGGTTTCCCGCGCTGCCGCATTATACTCGTTTTCACCTCAAGAAAAAAGGACGTTTTGCGCATTGTTCATACGCCGGGCGAAGTAGTTCTTACAAGATTTGGTCGTCGGAGGAAGAAGCGATCCTTTTGGCGTTTGAAACGTATACGTCTCAATTAGATAACATATATGTAATCTAAAATGCACCTACATATATATTAATTCTCCTCGTTACAGGGAAAATTAGTAATGCTCCGCGAGGAGCCGGACTTTTTTTACTTCGCTTCTTGAGGCGAAAACGGGTATAGACAGATTTACGGAAAGTCGGAGGCCCACAAAGAAAAACCGAGCTCCGAAGAGTCAGGGCCTCCACCGACGAGAGCTTCTGGCCCTCCTTCGGGGCCAGCTTATGTAGCCTCGGAGAATGGACGCGCCCGGGGGGGCCGCTAGCGGTCGTGTCCATTATAACTCTCAAGGGTGCGCCGGTGGCACATTTACCCAAAGTGGGCAAGGGAGCGTCGGCCCCTTCGGGGAATTCGGCCTCTGTTTATTGTATCCAGGAGGCCGACGCCATTGGTGACGACGACTCCCACGGCCTGCTCGAAGGTAAGCCTGGATAGGGATATAGGAAACCCCATGGTTTCCACAACCCCTGGCCGCATAAATCACCTGCACGAAGCGCATAGGTGTAACTCTCATAGCTTTTTTTTTTTTTATAAATTTTTTAAATCTTTAAAGTAAATTACAGGAAGATCCCCTGGTGAACGGATTCCTAGTAAATGCGTAAGCAGGACCTTTGGAGACTCCACACCCCTTTGGGAAACGCCAAAGCTGACGCCTTCACTTTTCTGTTTTGCCTTTCCGTCACAGAATTCGACTATTTTTTTAATCTTTTGTTAAAGTTTACTCGAGGGAGCGCATCCGGTCGTCGGGCTCTCCCTTGCCCCGCGCGTTGAGCGGCAGGCTTCGGGCCCCGTCCACTTTTTGTTTTATGGCCCCTGGCCCCCTTGTCGGTTGAGCGGGAGAGTTCGGGTCGCGCCCGTTTTCTGTTTTATGGCCCCTTGGCCCCCCTCGTCCCGAAGACGTTTCTCGCGGGGTTGTTAGTTGGAGGCGATGGGCCGACTTGGCTTCCCGGAATGTTGGGAATAGCTTCCAGATGTCCGAGTGGGGGTGCGCTTTCTGGTTCGCTGGGGTAGGCTCACTGCGGGACTTGCCAGTGTGACGTGTGTTGTTTTTATATGTATTTTTGTTGTTGCCACTGCAGAGGAACAATTATTTTTTGAGCAAGGGAGGGTGGTGTCTGCTGCTGGAATGTGGGAAAGTGAGGACCTCGGCTTGGTTCCGAGCCGAGTCAAGGCAGTGTATGCGAAGACTGGACCGGTGGGTGGACGCGACGCGAAAGTTGGGAGCGGTAGCGGGCGCGGCGGAAGGGGGAACGCGGGAAGAGCTCAGAGCGGCTCTGCAGGCCCTCCAAGTGTGTGTACTCGTGGGTGAGTGTGGTGCCGAGGAGCATCTCACGGAGCATCCAAGCACGCACAAGTTCCCCGTTTCGACCAGCGCCGCAACAGGCCCGCGTCACCCACACCACTCTCCGGACCCAGGTTCGCTCACTCACTTTAGTAGAATTGTATAGCATTTAGAGTCATTATTGTGTTATACATTTTTGTTCGTTTGTTCTTGTGTACTGTTTAGTGTGGACGAAGCCTTTAAACCGCTGCTCTGCCGGTTACTTATTTTTTTTTGTGAGTAGCGCCTGCACGATAAGAAAAGCGGTGTGATTTTTGTTTTTTACTTGAATTTCACTATGTGTAAACGCCGCGCGCGAGAATGGCAGAGTTAGCGAGTGATTATTATTGTGTTTGCGTTTGGTGTATGCGTTGAGTCTTGAACGGAATCCAAGTAAATCCTTCGTTATGTTAACGCAACGTCTCCGTCTCGTTCCTCGCCCCTCACAGTGAGTCCGTCCACCAGGGCGTGGACCTATCGTCCGGTCAGCGGTCCTATCAAAATTATAAATTTTGTTTGCATGGGGATCATTTGGATCTTTTATTGTTAATTTTCCGAACTTGTGACACTTTCTCTTTTACTTCCTCTATCTTTTGCCTCCTCTTTGGCCTCGTCACAGGGTCAGCGTTAGCGTTTCCCAAAGGGGTACGTGCGTCATGTTTCACAAGTGTCATGCTAACGGATTTTCTAAGAGTCCACCAAAGTATCTTCCTGTAATTATTTTCACCCCTTTGTTGTATTCTTCCTTTCAGAATACGTAGACGCCCTTGGATGCGGTTATCCATATCACTCGTAGAAAGAACCACATCCCTACCACTCGTCTAAGGAACTGCATTCGTAAAACTCTAGGAGGAAACCGTATCCATCGTTTTAACTACCAACACAGAGCCAAGCCCCCGCACCGCACATACGGACACTCAGAGCGAAGAACCGCCGGTGACGGCAGAGCAGCAACTGATCCGCATTCCGCAGCGCATTGCTCAACACCCCCTAGAAAACAAAGCCGTAGTGCTCAATAAGGTGCCCTCATCAGAGAACGCTAGCGCTGGACACAGATTGGAAACGATGATTGCCTCGACGTTCGGTTCAGACTTGACTCGAAGCCGAGCGCTGAGGCAGCACTCGTTGCAACTCTGTGTCCGGTGTCGGCCTTCTTTGATGACGCCGTCGCACTCAGCACTACGGCTTTGTTGTCTAGGAGGTGTTGCGCGGCGCCCCCTCCTCTCTTGCTCCGCGCCAGCTGTGCGCGTGACTTTGACGAAAACTAAAGGCCTTGGTTTGATGAAAACCCGGTGGCGTCTTTCAGGTCGCCAGCGCCTGGAAGAGAGGGAAAGGTTGACGCTTGCTGATGCCAGCGCATCGGACAAATGGGAGCATCTCAAGGGGTGTCAAAACAGGACACTACAAAACCCGCGACTCCGACAAATCGTGAAAATTGAAGCGGACGCTTCTATTTTTACGGTCTGTCGGAGTCGTGAAAATGTTTGCAGGAGTCGTGAAAATTTTTACGATCACGACTGGTCTCCTCTTCAGATTGACGTCACACGCCACCTGCGTCTGTCTCACCTCGCCAACGCCCTCGCGTACCGCCGTCGCCTCGTCTCGAAGGCCAAGAAGATCCGGCTTTGGGTGGATTTGGGACATTCCTGCGTCGAAGGGTGCGTTTCGCCCGCCTCGGATCTGCTTTCTTTGTCGAGATTCACTTTCGTCGTGATGGCGTCCGATGCGGTTCCGTATTGTGAGCGGAGGCCTTGAGCAATTGACCGACAGCCAACAGAGCGTGTGAGTGGCTCTCCGGACCCACGTGATGAGCAGAGCAAGGCCGCCGTGGAAGAAGCGAGGGGGAGATTTGACGGAGGGAAGTTTCCCCCCGGGAACAATTGACGGAGGGAAATTTCCCTCCGACGGCCGGAAGCGGATCGCGGCAGAGCGCGGCACGATTTGCCGG